GCTATCTCTTTACAGGAATTTTATTTCCTGTTTTTGGAGACTGTAATATTCAAATGGCACATTACACCCATTCTTGTTCTTTTGAGTCTGTTGTGCTCTTAAGGATCCCATAACCTGTTTGTCTTGACACAGCAACATAGCAGCTTTCTGCACAGCAGGAGTGCATGGAAAAGATCTCAGTGATCTGGAAGATTAGTCTGGTATGGTGTATTTTTTTTCTTTCTATCTGGTTTGATAATCGATTGTTTTTTGAATTGAAGTTCACAATATGGCAGAAGAAACTCAAGATGAAAATACCCCCTCTAATTTTCCATTTGCTTCTGGTTCAGTGTTCTAAACGGGAGGAACAATTTCTTATCTAATTCTTCATCTGTTATAATGTGAACTGTTTGTTTCAGGAATTTTCTCTGCCTATGTATATTCATTTTGCTTGTGCAAAGGTCTGTGATTTCACACACAGTTTTTGGGTGCTGCTGTTAGTAATATATTATAAAGCAACAAAAAGAGGAAATACAAGGGTGACACTTTTCAAACAGCATGTTAAAGTTTAGTGGTCGTATGAGTCTGCTTGTTTGACCAGCTGCATGTTTCGGTGCTGGACTGTAAAGATGTGCTAGGTGAGATTTTGGACCTTTGTCCTGGTAAAAAAAGTTATTTTCATAGAAAATGTTCTCTAATGAAGCAGTGTCAGGAAGGAACAAAAGCATTGCCTTGTTCATCAGGCAGAAGCAATAGAGCTGCTTTACTGTGGCAGACTTTTTCTTTAAAAAAAACCCTTAAATAAAAGCAGTGACTACATGCATCTTGGACATTCTAATTAGAAACATTTCTTCTTGATTGTTTTTTCTTGCAATGGCTTCTTGAAATACAAGCAGTTTGCATTTTCAAAGAGCAAAGGCGAAGTACGTGCTGTAAAAATAGTTATTTGAATTAAGTCTTCTCAGATTTTACTTTAACTGAAATCACCTCATGTGGAATTACAGTAAAAATTTAGCAAGATATTGACTTATAGAATCTTCTGCCTTCATCTCATCTCAGTAAAGTGTGGAGCTTTCTGTAATCATGAAGTTCCATCCTTAAAGCCCAATTGGTCTTGGGTTGCTCATGAAATTTTTTTTAAGGAACAGACATTATTAAAAGCTTAGAATACTAAAATTCGTTCACATGTTTTCATCTTTGTTATGACATGCAGTACTTTAGTAAGCCTGGCTTACTATAAATTGAATTCAGTGTTGAAACTGTTTCTGCAAAATAGATTTTGTGTCTTAAAAGGGTGGTATGAAAAAATAATACTTTGACTAAAATGTGATTTTACTTTTAATGTTTTACCCTTTAAAAAACAGGAGTTGAGATGTTTGACTCAAATGCCTTTATTGAAATTTTAAAATAATGCTATCTAAAATAATACTTAAATCTCTGTGGGCCTTGGTCCAAGCAACTGATAGGAATCTTTACAATAGGCTTGACTTCATAAACCCAGCACTAGTAACTTCTAAATGGACAGACTGTTCAGGTTCTGTATAGAAGGATGGTTTTTTCCTGAATCTGCTAGGAAATATATCCAAGCTCTGAATTTGGACTAGACTATTACTGCAGAGCTGAAAGGCTGTTTACAATATTATGTATAGTGTAAAATTGCTTTTTGTTTTAAGTGGGTCAGAGCTATAGCCAAAATGCCAGGCAGATGCATGATCCTTGATCTAATAGCAGCAAAAATTAATCTTACTGGATCTTCAGGATACTTCAGTGTGCTGAGCAGATTGCTAATATGTATGCATGCTCTTCAATAATTCAATTTTCATGAATTATAAAGTTATATTTCTTTATTAAATCTGACTGAGTTTCATGGTGCTCCTGGGATTTTCTAGCATCACATCAAACATGTAGGCAGAATTGTTCTAACAGCCTCTCTCCCTCTCTCTCTGAGATTATTTCCTGCCATCTTTCAGTCACAGTTTTTCTGCTGTATTGGGCCTTTAGTTTCTGACCATCCCAGTTATTTGGACCAGAGTGCAATGAAAAGACTGGGCAGGACAGGCTGGGTCCTCACCATGTGTACAACCCTTCCAGAGGGATGAGCAATTGATTCCTGCTCTTTTGAGGAAGGGCAAAGGCTGTGCTTCTGCTCACACACTTTTGTGTTTTCCAAAGAAATAAAAGGCAGAAATCCAGAGCTGGATTTCAGCTCTTGGACCCTGGAGCATCCGAGAGAATGCCAGGTGCTGTGGTGAGATGATCTGCTAAATCTTTCTGCAAGGACTCAGTGAAGGGTGAGAAGAAGGGTCAGTGGCACTTACACACTTCATCTCAGAGTCCTCTGCAGATGTTTTTCAAGGGAGCAAGAGTGAGGGCCTGATGGAATTGCTATGGAAACAGAGCTTATATTATTTATTTATTTACTTACTTATTTATGCATGCATGTATTTAAACCCTGACTTCCCTTAATGGCATATTTTGGAAGGCACCCAGTTTCAGGAGACTTTGTTCATTGGAAATTGGGGAATGTGAAATGTTGGCTGCTGGTCAGCAGCTCCAAGGTCCAGCAGTTCTGCAGAGAACTCTGACAAAGTACAGTCTGAAAGTGCTCTGTTGTTGTAGCAGAATATATAGGCTAAATTGAACCCTTTTTGTATTTGGAGTTGCATAAGTGTTATTAGACATGAAGAAAGGACAGAATGCAGCTTTGCAGTGATACTGGAACTGAGTAACTGTTAAAATAGATAGAGTTGGTGGTAATAATGCCTTTTTTAACATTATCCTGTGAAGGATTCAGAAGAGTGGTGGGGGCAAGGCATTCTCATACCAGTCCAGCATCCTTGGTGTCAGTGAAGAAAGCTGGAATTCAGTTTTGTTTGTTGAATGTTAAATGCGAGGTTTGTCATTTATGCATGCCTAAAAAAGGTTGTGGAAAACTACTCAGAACTTTATTAAATATGAAGTGGATAAGAACAGAGCTGGAAGCCCCAGATGACATTGTCATCTGGTTTTCAAGGTATGCTGCTCTCAGTCTCAGCTTTGATTGCATATATTCAGAAGCTTTAAAAAAAAGTCTTGCAGTAAGAAGGACAATGTGGAGAGGTGTTTTAGCATTGCAACATCAATAGTTTTTGGATGGAGTTTTATATTTTTTTGGCAGCCCTCTGGTGTATCTGATAGCTGCTTTGCATTCCTGGAATGCTAAATGCAAATCTGTTTGGTGTTATTTAAACTGCCATGTTTACCATGCTACAGCTGGGCATTAAGAGACATACAGGAGCTGTGCCTGAACCTGAATTTGCCTTGTTGTGGCTTCCCATGCAGGCACAGGACATTTTCCTGCCCCCATATTCCCTGCAGTGTATCATGCCAGGACATGGATGCTGGGATGGTGTATGCATTGCTGTCTATGCAGTTCTAGGGGTCTCTGTTAGCATCATTGCATGGTTTTGGCTTTTTCTCAGGCATTGTCTGAAATGAGGAGGATTTGTTCAGGCCATCGAGCCTGAAACTTTACACTAAAGCATCTTTTACTCAATTTTTTGTCCGAAAATCTCCGTTAGGGTAGTTCTGCTTTTTGGCAGTGCAGCTAATACTGCTGCAGCCATAGTGAAACACTCTTCTGCAAACCTGATATTGTATACCATGGAGGAATGTGTGTCTTCCTTTTATAACTTCTGCAATTTATAAAATGAAGTATGCTTGGTGTAAAGCAGAACATTGTTATGACTGTGAGGGGTTTTTTTCTTTAATCTTTTTTGTGGAGTATGGGCAATGCATTACTTCTACAGGAGATGGTAATTTCATACCTGAGGTACTTGAACAGCACAGTTTCAATCTGTGGAACATCAGCCTTTTGTAGCATATAACCTAATAAAAATTGTAAAAGCCTGATTCCACCAGAAATGCTTAATTATAGGTCTTTGATAATGCTGGCATAGGAAAGGGGGCATTATGCATGCCTTTATTAGCTGTTCTAACTCTACTAGTGTTACTGTCTCCTAAAGACTGTGAATTAATACATGAGATTCACATTTTAATGCAATTTCCATTGCAGTACTGTTGGTTTGTATGTAGGTCAGAATCCAGGTTTGTTTGTCCTGGATCTTTTTTTTTTTTGCTCTTTTTGATTGTTAAGAGTGAGATAAGAGAAGAGGCTAACATTTTATAAAAGTGTATTGTAGGATAAAATTAATTTTCCTTGTAAGAAGCTATTGTTTTTGTTCTATAACACTATTTTCCCTGTAGATGACCTATTACTGTTTAAAAGATTCAATTATCTATGTTCAATGTTTAACTGTAGTGTCCTTACAATAGAGACCTTTGTTCTCCAGAAAAATAAAGCCTAGTCAGTAGTTTGCTAAAGTACTTTGCAAAAATAGCTTTTTGATTTCAATGCCATTCTTTAATATCTAATTAATGAAAATGATTGAATGCACAGGAGCATTCAATGCTCCCAACAAGCAACAATTAGCAGAGAGAAATATGGCACTGAGCAATGCTGTTCATCTTGCCTACCTCTAAATGTTGAAGTGTGTGGCAGTAAGTGTGACTTCTCAGGAATAAATATCCAGGAATATTCAGGAATACATTATGGTTTTCAGTGTGCAAAAGATTAGGTGGTTAATTTTCCTACCATAATTTTAAATACTACTGAGTTGCTAAGCAGTTCACTTACACTCCTCCCTTTTTCTAGACTTTATATGTAATTTTTCAATTTCAGTGCCCTATGCATTGATGTTTTGCATTAGAAGAGAGTGGAAAAGAAACCAAGCTGTAGACAGTGGATTTTTGCATTTCTTTCTGAGCTGCCTGATTATATATTTTTGTTGAAGTTTGTGTGAGCCAGAGGTTTGCAATTTTTTGTGGACTGTATTTAAATCCTCTGAAGTCAAGTCTTTTCAGTTAGGGCAGGCACACTTTTTTGTATGGATAAGTCCTGTGAGAGTTTCCTCCACTGGGTGCTGTTAGGTGTTGTTTTGAGTCATAAATTTGTTCCAATTATGTACTCTTTGTCTTTGCAGTGTTCTGGATGATGAGGGGAGCAGCCTGCGTCAGCAGAAGCTTGACAGACAGGTAAGATTTTGGAGGAGGACCTTGCTCCCTAAAGTCTGAATCCTGGAGTAGTGAAAACACTGATAATTCACAGAAAATTGCATCCTCTGATAGGGTGATACAGAAGAGAGATCTGTGGAGGCTGAAGTTAACTCACAAGTCTTCCATTAAAATTTGTCTTCTGCCTGTGGTTTGAGTGATTTCCGCTGCCTTGGACTTGTTTTAAGCTGTTGTACAATGTATTTATTACCCCCCGATGGAGCAGTCACACCAGCCAACAGAGGTTAACCACAAAGTTTTTTTTCAGTGGATTTAGCTCTTGTGGCTGTAACCTAGTGGCCCTGTGTGCTATGTTGCCTGTTTTCTGACTGCATTCCTACATGCCTTGTGCAAGGGAGTCAGAATATGAAATCTGAGGGAATTGTGTCATCACATTTTAATGGGAGTTGAGGTTTCTGATTTTACTTTGATTTCTGTGGTCCCCTTCTCAAAAAATGTTGTCATTTTTATAGTTAAACCTTGTGAGAAATTTTATCCTTTTCTATTGCCACTATTTCATCAGCTTGCATGTCTAACAGCATCTCATTTTCAAATTCAAGTACTATTTATGCCATAATCCTGTGCTTAATTCTGATTGTGGTGGAGTCATGTTGAGGTGTTAACACAATTTAGGGAGCTGAAAGAGTTCACTCTCCATTTTTATTCCTCAGTTTTATTGCATCTCCTTCCTAGAAGCTAAAATATCAGTGTACAGAAGCAAGAAAAAGGTAAGGTAATAGATGAATAAAATTAACAGTTTAGTTCTCTGAGGTGGTGGAATAGGGCTCAAATAAGGTCCCTATGGTGCCACTGGATGCCAAAGGTCTTTGTTTTCACCAGGTCTAGCTGAGAAATTTAAGTGTTTAATTAAAGTTCCTCTATTATAGCTGTTAAATTAGGCTTGTGTCCAGTATTATCACTCAATTCTAGTTTGCAATTACCTGCTTTTAATTTACAGAAACTGAAATTGGCATCTCTGCCTCGTGCCCTTGCTTACCCTCCCATTGCTTCACAGCCAGTATTCTCACACTGTTGTTTTCCCAAGGGTTATTTCCAAGCAAGCTCTGACAGCTGGTGGGCTGCTCAGAAAGATGTATTTTAATTATTTGCTGTTTTCAGCAGAAGGTGTTTCAGCAGTGGGCTGGTTGTGGTGGTTTTTTGGAAAGGTTTCCTGTATCCCGACGTCCCAATCTCCTGCCTGCCAAATGCCGCCGCTGTAGAGCTGGGGAAGGGGTAAAGCTGACCATGGTTTTCCAGGGTAGGATGCTGCTGTTTGGAGGGCAGTAACAGATGCTTTTCTCTGTCTTTTCTCCAGAGAGCACTGCTGGAACAGAAGCAGAAAAAGAAGCGCCAGGAGCCACTGATGGTTCAGTCCAATGTGGACAGCCGGGCAAGGACGCGCAGGATGAAACATTCGGAGGAGCAGGCCCCGCTGGTTGAATCCTATCTCAACAGCAACAGCAGCACCATATATCATGGTACAGAATGCCACCTCCTGCAGCTGTATTTGCTCAGAGTCCTCATGTCGTGCTCATTTTATGCTCAGGAGAACAAATGCTCTCGTTTTGCATGTTTTAGTATAACATTGATATCCTTCACTTGGGATAAAACCATCAGAATTTGCAATTGTAGCCTAACAGGAGGGAGCAAGGTACCTAGCTGCCATTTCAGTGCTGAACTGGGAAAGAGACAGCTTGTCCCTTCTGCCATGGCTATTTAAGTGTCTTCAGACTTGGTTCCTAAGTAGAGCTGATGGGTTCCACTCTGAATGTTCCTCTGCACGTAATTTTGCTTAAACCTAACAGAGGCAATGACAAATGTGAAACCTATTAACTAAGTTCAGCTAGGACTGAATATAGTAATTTTAAAGATTCTATGTTTCTCCAAAGTCCATTAAAACAGGTAGAGAAGAACATTTCAAACTCATACAATGTCTCCATTTTCTCATTAAAGATTACAGGATCCAGTAGGAATAGAGTCACTTAAGGCATCACACCCATAGGGGAAAAAAATTATAATGTAATTTCTTTTCAAAGACATTAATAATCAGAAATAAATCCTAAGGAAACCAGGCATTATTTACTTCTGTCCTCACATTGCCCATGCTTTTTGGCCCTCTAAAATGGTATGTGTGTACTTTTCCTCAGGATTTCCTAAAGGGAAGCTTGGGTAATCCTTGTCCAAAATTTGACTCTTGTAGATATCATTCCAGGTTGGTAACACCTCCCAGATCTATAGAGAGCAGTAATTTTCCAGTTTTCTTGTTTTGCAGATCATTAAGTTGAATGTAATTCATAAGGGAATTCATAAGCTTCAATAGCAAAAGGCTTCCTTCCCTGACTATTGATGAGTTTGTGGGACAGGAGCTGAATCAGTATCTACTGATATTGATTGGGAATGCAGCTGGCTGATTTCTGGCTGGCAATGGTGTTAGGTGGGAGAGTACTTTGGTTTTGGGGTTTACACATTAAATCTTAATATGCTTTTGTGAATCTAACTCTGTTAAAGAACCAAAACCAACCAGTATCCTACTCTTATATAAACAAAAATTTAACCCAGCATTCAGTTCAAATTTCTGTCAGTTTTACTCATGTGCTGGACTATTTGTCTCCCTGTTGTTTTGTTTTCACTTGGTGGTTTTGTTTTCCATAAGAACAAGGTGGGTATTTAGTATACAATAACAAATTCTGCTCTGAGAAGTGCAGGTTTCAGAGTCTTTCCTCCTGGTTAGCAATTGGTGGAATTTTTTAGCTGATTACAGCTACAGAATTTACTGTTAGAATCTGGAAATTACATTGTTTAAATGTTGAGATTTTGGTAATAATGGGCCTTTTAAATCTTTTTTCTATAAGCAAATAGGATACCATAAGTGGTTTCAGATGGAGAATTATTTTTTCAACTTAGTATTATTTTAATTACTTTTTTCTATTAAATATTAAATAGTAACATTTCTCTTTGCTGCCTGTTTCTCAGGGTCTGGGATGTAATTTTTAAAGATTAAACTGAATGGCTTTCTAGTCTAAATCAAAATATTTGATTTAGCACAAACATTTAGTGTGTTTATTTTTTAATCAGACAAAATAGAAATTTTCTCTTTTTCCTCTTACACTCAAGAGTTTATCAAAGGTACAAAGCTATTCTGAGAAATAATATAGCAGAGAGATAGTGCTGTTTACTAAACCCCTTATATTGCCAGTTGATCAAGGTTTTAATTTTCACAAATCTGAGAAAAAGATATTATCATCACATAATTGGTAACAAATTTCATATATGTACTAACTGAGTTAAATTGCACACCAATTTGCACCAGAGTGGATTTTCTGAAGTGAGATTAACTGTGCTCTTAAGGTAAAAGTGACCCTTCCTGTCATGCTATACCACACCATTCATTGAAATACTTAGATTTATTCTCCCTAAATCAGTTTGTTCTAAATTTGTCTCTCAAACCCTTTTAATATTTCACAAGGTTTCAGAGAAGCAAAGAAATATAATGTTTCTCATATTCAGCATGACATTTGTTAATCCCTTGGGACAGCTCTCCTTGCAATAAACCATGCAGTTTGCCAGAGCCAGCTTAAAAGAATTTAATTACTTAGTAGGGTGTTTTATTGCCTTGTAAAATCCTTTGTTAGGCACGTTGCTTTTGAAAATATTACAAGAACTCTCGAAGTGTCCTTTTTTGGTGTGGCCTTCTCTGGGAATGTGCTTAATGTCTTCCCCAGTTTGCAGGGAACATTTTGGGGTTTGATGACCATTTTTAACTGTGGCATTGAGCTTCAGGGCTGGCAGGTTTTTTTTTCCCCTTCAATGAAAACATTTGTATGTGGCAGTGTCGGATGCATGAGACAGCTGGGCTGTTTCTAAAGAACTATTCTGCTCTTTTCCGTTCATTTGTGGCTGTTATGGGCATGCTGATTCCAAATTGAGAATGGCTCTTTGATGGGACTTGATGCTCTACTGAATGAACTACACTGCTTGGATGAGCATGTTTGTGAAATCAATTCCTGTGCTAGTAAATGCTACAGAAAGAGCACTTCTTTCCACCTATCATCCTGCTCTACTCTCTCTTTTAGCTTGCACTGGTTCTGTGTAGCACAAAAGTACTTGTTGATTTCAACAAATAATTGGGTGCCTGTGTGGAGATATCTCTATGGTACTTTGAGCAAAGTAGGTCAGAGATAGCATCTCAGCAATTCTCAGATGCTGGGAAATTCTCCTTCATACACTGCCACTGCTTATTCTGATGCCATTAACTGTGCTGGGAAATTCTCCTTCATGCACTGCCATTGCTTATTGTGATGCCATTAACTGTGCTGGGAAATTCTCCTTCATGCACTGCCATTGCTTATTCTGATGCCATTATCTGTGCTGCAATGGTTCCCTCATGGGCAACTCTACTCTGCAGTAAAAACTCATTTAATTCCAGAATAATTATCAGAGCTTGGAGTAGAAAGTCAGTAATTCTTGTTCTGGAATAGAGCATCAGCCTGGTGAGCTACTTGTGGGTAGGTAGAGTAGAACACCCTATTTTGCTAGTTAAGCTAACTGTGGATTGCCAGAAATGCCATAATTTTTTTTCTTAGATGACTTAAAGGCAGAGAAATGACACATTGGTAGGACAAAATGGTATTTATGTTCCTTGCCAAGAGTGCTAGCAATTTCTCTGGGTACCATGAGTCTTTTAAGGAGATGTGTGCTCTTCCAGTGAGGAGGTGGCTCTGCAGAATCCACCATGCACGAGTCTCCACACAGAACATTTCTTCTCATCTGTCCCATATTTCACCTACAGATAAAAGTCTTCAGCTATTGTACCTTGTAAATGACTTGAATGTAGTGTATATTTTTTAAACCTTTTTGTTGTTGGCATAATGCCTAATTAACTAATAACAACAAAAGTTCCCTGCAGGAACTGAGATGAATTAGGCTGAAAAGACCAACATGAGATAAAATCTCCTTGGCACTCAGGTCTATAAGGGATTGGTTTGATCTGGAGTCCCAGCCAGTGGTCACACAGTCATCAGCACCTGCAGGTCAGGTAGGTAGAGTTAGGCCCCACATTTATCTGCCTGCCTTTTCAAGCAGTAGGTATCGTTCCACTGACTTCCATGATGTTGTTCTATGGCTCTATTTACAATAAATCTTCTCTCTCTCAGTACCAAATGCAGCTCAATTGCTATTTCATCATTATAAACAGTCACGTAAGAACCGATAACAACTTTTTGTATTGCTATTAAATTTAAATTCTAAATAAAAGACAACAAAGGCATTCATTCACCAGAAGAAATTTAATCCTTCTTTGTAGGAGAGATCACTTACATTGTCTTCTCCTCATGTGTTCTGGTTTATTTTCAATTCAGTGTCCTTCATAAGGACATATTGCTTCATGTTTGTTTAAAGTTTTTTTTTTTAAATTTTACTTGCTGTTCTGAAATATGTCACAGTTACATCTGCTTTCTTGTTTTCATGTATTTCTACTCAGTTTTGTGAAGTTTGTTGAAAACCTGAACAAACATTTTAGCCTCATTTGACATTGCAAAATTCTGCTACAAATACAGTTCTTTTCAATCTGGATTGCAAATACTGAGCATTCCTGGAGCCAAATAACATGCAGAGATACACTAATTACTGCAACAATTTAATTACATTATTTAATTACATTTAATGCAAATGCTGAAAGCCCATTTTTACAGAGATTTTACTTCTGTGAAAATGGTGAATTTCCACTTGGGAGTGATTTTTCTTTTCACAGCACCGAGGAAGGCAGAGATTTGACTGAGTGCCAGATATGCTTTCATTAATATTGCCATACTTTGTTGCAGCTGTGGTGTTTTTATATAAGACTTGAAATTAAAAATGTTTTCAATTAGATACTCTCAGAGTAATTTCCATTGCAACTTCCAGTTTAGTGATTTAGATTAACCATGTGTAAAAAGGCAGAATGATTTTTTTTTACTTTTCTCCTCTGGCATTTGGCAGCACATCTAGGTGTAATGGCTGTGTGGTGTGTTAAACAGACCTCTGATGACAATTCATAGCTTTGGTTGTTAAATTTGACGTGTCATTCTGCTATTTACCATGAATGATGAGAGAGAGTTTTTTGATGAGCATCCTTAGCTGTCAGCTTTAAAAGATGACATCAGTTAAGTATTAATTTAAAAAATCATATATTTGCCTGTTCATCAGAAGAGTGTCTCTCCATCCCTGTTTTCCACTGACCTTGGAATGAGCAGGTATTAGTTTATTTTTTGAAGATAGCAAGGAATGTTCTTTGCAAAGGGCTGTTAATATTGAGAGATCAGGCAGCACTCCAAACATCATGTGGGCAAAACACTTAACTTCCAATAAGCAGATATTCTGAAATCTTTATTTCAGCAGCAGTCTCTTCACCCTAATCTTTAAAGCATCTGTTTGATTTGTCAGCAGTTCTTACTGCACCAGTGCACTTCCAAAATAAACAAACTAACCCAGCAGCAAGGAG